GAATAATCACTATAAGAGAACAAATGATTTGCTGAGATATCACCTAAATGTAGTCAAGGAGAATATATTTAGCACCTAGATGATCCAGGGGCATTTCTTGATTCACCTCTGTCCATTGTGATAGTTACCCTTAATTGTCAACTTGATTGTCTTGGGAGCCACATAGGAGATTAGTAAACTACACTTCTGGGTACATCTGGGTAGGTCATGAATGTATGACCTTGAGTATTATATCTGGTCCCTGGCCCCTTCTTCTCTGTTACTGTTCCCCTGCTCTGCCTTCTAGCTACCTTGAACTAAGCAGCTTTGTTCCACTATGCCCTTCCACTATGATTTTCCTCCCTTAGAGTCATTGGAGTATGGGCTAAATCCCCTAAAACTATGAGCCAAAGACATCTCATCCTTTAAATTGCAGGTTTCTGGTATTTTGTCTAGCAACAGGAAGGTTAACACTGAAAACTAGTACCAGGAGTGGGGCTGTTCCTCTGAATGTACCTAAATGTGTCATGCATAAGCCTTTGGAACTGGTTTATGGGAAGTTTGGAAAAGTCTGGTGAATTGGGCTGGAGAAAGCCTATAAGGTTATAAGCAGAGCTTGGTGAGTGATTCTGGTCAGAGTTCAGAAAAACAGAATTCTCATAAAAAGGCAGACAGTAAAGGCCAGGCTCAGGAGGTTTCAGTGGGGAATGAGGGCTTTTTTGGCAGTTAAACTAGAGGCCAGTGTGTTACACTCTCGCAAAAAAAAAAAAATTGTCTAAATTTTGCCCATGTCCTGAGACATTACATGATGCTGAGATCAATTAAGAGTAGGGGACTAATTGATCTGTTGGAAAAAATTTCAAGGCACCCAAATATTCAGAATATGATATGGTATCACTGGCTGCTTTTAAGCAGATTTACAGTTAGAATCAGGAGCAAAAAGCAGAGCAGAAATAGAAAAACTTAAATTTTGGCCTGAAATAAACCATGTGTAAAGTTGGGGCTATGGAAGTGTGATTGCTGAGGAGATTAGCACCATTTTTTAAAAAAAGTACTTTGAACAAGGACAAGAAGAAAGATGCCTTGAGGACATCTCAGGAATCAGCAAGACCCCTCCCATTCCAGACTCAAGGGTGCAAATGGGTAAACTTTTCTTTTGACAAGAGAGCTATTAGAAGGAATTGGTCTCCTAGGATTCATTGTACTCATCCATCTAGGCATTCAGAGGCCCCAGCATTCATGATCCAAAGGTCCCAGCTACTGCTCAAGCTGACAGAAGACCTGGGTGTCATCCATGTGATGCTGGTTTTATAGACATGCCGATCACCTGCATGTGATCTTCCCTTCCGAGTCCTTGCTTTGTGGACTTCAGGCTTCTTAGCTAGCCACCAGACTGTGGGAGCATATCTCATCTAAATAAATCAGTCAGACTATCAATCAATGTATCCATATATGCTATGCGTGTGTATGTATATTTATATGTGTGTCTATAAATCTCAATATATATATATATAAATGCAATAGATAATACATAGAAGCATTGATCATAGAGACAGGTAGATGATAGATAGGGACAGGGAAAGAGGGGGCAAGAGACAAAGATTTGAATGGTTCTTCTCTGGTTGAACTTTGCTACTGGATGGTCTATTCTCAGTTTCAATTCGTGTATCCAGAATTAAACTCATTTATCCTTTTCCTCATTCTATACCACAACCAACTTCCTTTTGCATCTAACTCAGGATACTAACTTTTATGGGATTTGGGAAATAAAAAATTTTTTATTTCCCATATATAGTAACCAGCAACCATTAAGTCCACACAGTTTTCTTTGAAGCTCTCTTTCTACTCCAAAGCAGGCTCTGTCTCATGCTCATATGATTTTCCTTCTTCCTGAGATTTTTTTTTCTTGGCTCAGTTTGAACTGTCTTTCAATAGTGTCAACCTAAAGACTTTTTACATGTATTGCTCCCCCATTCAAAATGGTCATATCATTTCCTAAAGGTTACAATCTAAGTTTCTTTTGAAGATGGCATTTAAGGTTCTCCAAAAATATTGTCTCCTATAGCAAGATGATACTTATAAGAGAATACTTATAAGCACTTCTATATGAGGCATGTGACTTTTACAAATTATCTCATGTAATCCTCACTATATACCTATGAGGTGGATAAAATTATTATCCTCATTTATAGGTGATAGGACTGAGACAGAAAGAAGTTAATTAACTTCCCTATTGACACAGCTAGTAGGTTGTCCTCTAGAATTTTAATCTGAGCCATGTGACACCAGAGGCCACCACTTTTATGGCCACCATTTTGAATCCCACACTCCCAATTGACCTGCATTCTCAATGTTTTTGAACACATGATATTTTCTAACTTGCTTGTGCAATTTTTCCTTCAAGGGACAGTTGGACTTCCTTCATGCTGTTTGACTCTCCAACCCTTGGGTCTAATTCTTACCTTCTCCAAAAAACATTCACCCAGTATTACAAGCTAGACACACTCACTGTTTTCTCAATGCCTACTAAATTTTGTGTTATGTAACAGGTTGAATTGCATGAATACCTCTAATCTCTGCTTACATCATAGAGAACCATGCTGACATTTTCTTTACACACTACAAATAGCACATTAGTACAGTTTTGAAGAAAGAAACAAGCACACCCAAACATATTCTCTGTAATATCAGAACCAAATTTGCCGTATACATCCCAGATCATTTAGGTCTCACAAATGTAATTTCTAGTGCAGATATTAAAAGATTTCTTCATGACAATGCAACAGCAGAGTTCATTCATTTAATTATATAACTGGATCCTATGTGTTCCGACTAATGTAATGATCTCAGGGAAAGGCTACAGGTAAAAATATAAATTCTCTGTAAGTGTGTCAGAGCATTTAGGGGGGCTCTGACTTGACAGTTTCACAATTCTTTGCCCTTAAAAACTGCTTCGAGTCCAAATGAGGCACTGGGCTCCATATTTAACCTTATTCTAGCTTTTTATATTTCTGTGTTTGCCTGCATTTGGTGGTCTGGTTTTATTTTGATGAGAAGAGTTGAGTAGAGGGAAATAAAAAATGAATATTGCCTCTCTTAGGGAAACTTGGAATAGATTTATTTTCTATTGTCCTTCTATAGGGCTTTGTATGTTGACCAGTTGCAAATATAGTTGAATATTTTTCTTATAGTGGTTTTTGTAGATTTTCTTGTCATAATATTTATTAAAATACCATTTTGGTAACTTATACCTCTCTCTTTGAAAGACCATGTGTTTTAACTTTTAAAGAAATATCTAGCAGGACCTTCCTCAAATATTTGCCAGATGAATTGAACAGGAAGATTAACTATTTAATTGCGCTTCTTATGAAAGTTTAAGAATCACTGGTTTATAAGATCAGGATATGGTTGTTTTTCTCTCTCTCTTTATAATACTTGAGTTATAACTCTTCCCCTGTACCACTAAGTGACAAATGTTCCTTTGATTAAGCAACATATAAGATATCTTCATGGTAACACTGTTCTGTATTGTGACTATGGTGGTAGATACATGAACTTTCACATGAGACAGAATTACAGAGGACTGCATGCATACAAAATGAGTGCAAGTAAACTAGAGAAATCAGAATATCTGCATAAGATCAGTGGGTTCTGTCAATGTTACTATTGTTGCTAGAAACAATACTTGACATTGATACCCACAACTTATAGGAGGAGAGGTTTAATTTGGCTCATATTTTATGGGAATTTAGTCCATAGTTGGTTGACTCCAAGGCTGAAACCTCATACCAAAAGGTAAAGCAAAGCTGCTTAGTTTATGGTGGCCAGGAAGCAGAGGAGAGAAGGAATACCAGAGAGGAAGGACCCAGGTACCCAAGGTCATGCTTCTATGATTCACCCAGACACACCTACAAGTGTGCTCCACCAATACCCTGGGCAGCTTCCAAGCCAATCAAGCCAATCTTGACACGATCAAGATGAATTGACACACCTAGTTGATATGTAACTATAGTTTTGCCCAAGTAACTTTTGCTAGATGTTGCTATTGAGGGAAACTAGGTAAAGTGTATATGGAAATTCTTTGTGTTATTTCTTACAACTGCTTGTGCATCTATAGTTGTCTCAAATTAAAACTTTAAAATAAAACTACTAATTTCTTTACAAGAGGGTCCGTAATGCTTTGGGGTTACTAGAATGGCCATTGGGGTGATTAATCAAGATGCTATTAACTCTTCAGGATGTCTTTTGGATGCACAAGTTAAAAAATTACCCCAGTCCCAAAATGATAGAAGGAGAAAGACAAGATGAAATAGCCTTTGGGTGGAGTTGGCCTTGAAACTAATTCCCACTTTCTTCTATATCTGCCTCTGTACATGATAAGGAAAATGGAAGAAGATCACCCATGTGGGAGTCTATTTCCATATTCAATTTTGGAAACTCTTTGCAAATACTACTGAATTTCCCTTTGCTTTTTGTCAATGCATAAGAAAAATGTTTCCAAATCAGATGCTAAAATTCCAAGAGAATGCTTGTTGGGGGTGATACTGGTTCCATTTCTCCAACTAGTAATAATAATAATAAAATGACCATAGTATTTGTCAATATTGTTACCATAATGGGCACCTCCCACACACTCCACACCTGGAAAGTTTGTAGAGCCAGAACTAGATAAAATCATTTGTTATTCAAATGAACGGTTTCCCTTCGAACTGTCTCATTTGATCCAGATATACTAAGGTAACACTCTAGTCTGGGACTGGCTGGCACGGAAGGAGAAACCCTTGGAGGATAAAATCAGGAGGATATAACATCTGTTCTGCTCTCCCCTTGATGATAACAAAACAACTTGGGAAAGTCAGTTCATCCACTGTGAGTCACCACATGCAAGGATGATTGTTGGGTGGATATCAGAAAAAGTCCCTTCTGAGACACAGAACCAGACCACACTCAACACTGGCTCTTTTCTAAAACAAGAAAAGAAAAGAAAAGAAACCAAGCAACGTGCATTCAGCAAAGCTTACCTGTGTTGATGTATCTCTTTATGTTTTTCTGGTCTGGTTGGACTCTAGCAAAGCAAAGATCCTTTCCTCTGAATCTGAGCTGAGTTGGAGGTGAGCTTACAGCATTTGTGGGGACCCCAGAAAGATATTCACTTTCTTTTCCTATAGAGATCCATATATGGCTATGGTATCCAGCCTTAAGAGACTGTGGTTAAGGGCAGATAAAGGGCTTCCTGGAATGGTCACTGGCCATCGTAACTCATGAATCAAGACTTTATCATCTCCTAAGGGCACTGGCCTTTTCTATACATAGATTGTTCAGCTGGGACTATATTTATCCCCAGGGGAAGGGGGCTGCATACAGAGCCTTGAGTTCTCTTTCTGAATTGACTCTTACCTTATTAAGCTTTGGAGCAGGCAATTTATTTTTCATGACTCATTTTCACAGAAAATGTGTGTGTGTGTGTGTGTGTGTGTGTGTGTAAGCACATACATACATATATGTATGTACTTGTGCAATTTCACAGAATGTGAATATGTGTGTGCATTTATATATATTCTCATAAAATATATAAACACGTTTTAACTCTGTTTTTCCTTTTCCCACCTCATTCCTACTTTTCCCCTTTCTTTCACGTTATTTTGATGACAAATCCTACAGGCTTTTCTTTAGTTCTCTCTCATCTTCTATATCATTCTCATGTGTCTTTGGCTCCCAAGTATCCTCTGGTTTTTGTGCTTCTGCACCTAAATTTCTTGTAAAAATTTTTCATACTTTCTCTCAGTCATATTTTCATGCAAGTGTTCTCTCATTCAATATCTCTCTGTGTCTGTCTGTCTCTCTGTCTCTGTTTCTATCTGTATCTCTCCCTCCTCCACTCGTGTGTGTGGGGGGGGTGGTGTATGTGTTTGACCACAGTCCACTCTTGGTTCCCTGGGCAGGTACTTTAAGTCTTCAGGAGTGTGGCCCCTGATTTTCTTGCTACCAATAACTAAAGGCAAAAAAGCAAAAGCAGGCTTAGATGGACCTAGACAGTGGCAAGACTATTGACAGAATCCTGAGAGGAAAGATGGCTCCCAAGCACCTTCAACTGGGGGCTGAGGTTGTGCTAAACTGGTGCAGGAGAAGGAAAAAGCATTTGCCATGCCAGCAACCCTAGTTAGCACTAAGGATGCTAAAAGCCACAGTTAAGGTTACAGAGGTGCATGTGCAAAAGTCATGGATTTGGGGGGAGTGTGCTGGACAGAAGCAGGAATAAGACAAATTAGGAAAAAAACTGTCACGGATTAAGAACTTACAATTTAGGCACTGGGCTTTGCATTTTAAGGTATTACCTATTTACTTTTTACAACAACTGTGAAGGAGTTTGTGCCACCAAAATAGTCCTCTTCATTGAGATTCCACGGTAAAATCAAACTGGATTCTAGGTAATAGAATTGACAAAGGTGAGGACCTTGACCTTGGAGTTTACATGTTACAGCATGAGAAGTCACAGGATGGAAAGAGCCAAGATCTCCAATTGTGATGTGGAAAAAAAGCCTCCTATTAATTGAAAACTCTTAAATTTTTGTATTACTGAGAAAATAACTTCTACCAATCCCAGGCTCCCAGGGCAGTGAAGCTCAGCCAGTCCCAGCACCCAAAAGGAAGCTCCCTGCCTCCATCCCAGGCTCCTAGGGCCAAGAAGGTGAGCCTGAGCCAGTCCCAGCACCCGGAAGGAAGCGCCACAGCCTCCATCCCAGGCTCCTAGGGCAGTGAAGCTCAGCCGGTCCCAGAACCCGGAAGGAAGCTCCCCTGCTGCCATCCCAAGCTCCTAGGGCACAGGAGGTGAACCATGTGGGGGCCAGAAGCACCCCAGCCCCCCTGGAAATGAGAAGACACATAAACAAGTCTCAAAAACAGACTTCCAGATCACCTACAGCAATAACAAAGGGAAACAAGATGGAACACTCTGATACTCAACCACCTGGACTCTCTAAACTAGCAACAAAAGAGGATCTGGGAAAAATGAAATCAGAAATAATTACACAGATAACGGCAAAGATTTTGCTCATGGGGCAAGGCATGATTAATAAATCTAGAGAGGACACAGATCAAAAATAGAGGATCTGAGGAACATGATGGAATCCCAACATAGGAAACAAATGGAATCCATAAAACAGATACAAACAGATTCCCAAGAGATTAA